GCATTATTCTTCAGAATGATTATTCAAACTTGGAGGTTTACATCATTTACATAGTAAATTTCACTAATTTAGGACAAATAACCCACTTCTTGCTCTAGTTTCTTACTCTTGAGTTGTGGAGTTTGCCTAATGTTATACATTGAAGTTATTTTTAATTATTAGGTTTTTTTTTTTTGTGCAGCTTAAACTTATAACGATAATTCCGAACCTCTTTTGGGGAGAAGAAACAGGAGCTTTTAGATTCCCTTGTTTAAGTCGAGTCGTACCGAACGGCAGATGTTTAATGCTGAGTTTTAGCACATCACTCTTCAGAAAATATGAAGTTTTTAATGAGATCTCTCACCCCTATCAGCGGACACGCATTAAAAGCTGGGAGCTAACGAGCATCGTGTCTCCACTTGCTCGGAGCAGGGCTGAGGCATCGCTGGTGCCGGGAAGGCAGGGTGTGGAACCGGTCTTGGCGTGAGGGTGACTGCGGGCTGCCTGGAGCCGCTGCGTGGGCCGCACGCTGTAACGCGAGGAGCAGGGAGCCGTGTCATCCATAGCCGGAGGGCATGAAATTCTCCTTGTGCCCCAGCCAGGCCTTCTCCCTGCCCCGGCTGTCGCTCATTGCCTTATTGCCTTATTGCCTACCGCTATAAACCAAGGCTGTTTTTTGTTTTTGTTTTGCTCTGTTAGCACTGAAGTGGGTCAGTTGCTAGAATAAAAGATAGTGACTGTTTACTTTGATTTGTACCGTATATGGATTTTCATGCTTATATCTTTGGCAATCTGCTGAATATATTACTAAAGCAACTATGTCTCCGGAAGTTAGCAGCTGCTGCTTTGCCATGCCTGCACAGTGAGGCTTGTGCTTCCTTTTGACCTTTTTATGTAGGCCCTTTTCCCACTTCATTATGCATTATTTTCTGGGAGAAGGTATCAGTCTAAGCGGCTAATTCTTGGTGGCAAGTTATCCATCCATTATCATGGAGAGCCTGAAGCCTAACCTTGGAAGTGCGTTACTATCGTAGGGCACGCATTCCCCGAGCTACCCCTAAGGACATCCACACTCATGCAGAGACCATGCCAGCTTTACAGATTAATCAGAAATGTGGCATGCCCCGTATACAGTCTGCCCTAGCTGCTGCAGAAATGTTATTCCAAGCATTTTATATGCCATCACACATTGCGTCCCACATATTACATTTTTACGTGATGGCAGTGAAACCTTAAGCAGTTTTTTACTTGCATCCCAAGCTGTATTTCTCTATGAAGTCCAAAGTCTTTCATAATTGTTAAACTGACTGCCAAGAGCATATTTCTGTCAGTTTGGGATAAATGCTACCTTAGGGGGATCATTCTTCTGTCAGTCAACGTTATACCTTCACTGTTGATGTCCTCTTCCTGCTTGACGTCTTCATGCTTCATGCTACATGCTTCATCAGTCTGGTCTTAACCCTTAACTAAAAACCTCAGCGTGGTGTTGGTTCATTTCAGACTGGGATTTGCAGTTCACCTTACAGACATAATGAGTGAGGGTAGTGTTTACATTTATCTATTGCTCGCCTTACACTTGAGAAAGCAGAGTCCATCCCTGGAACAGATGGGGTTAAGGGTATTGCTTAAAGGTCCAATGAAGAAATCACTCTGCCAACTACGGGATTTGAACCAGCAGCTTTCTGATCTCATGTGCGGCATCCTAACTCTCCTGGGTCACAGGATCCTGGAGTTATTTAACCCATGAAAATACATGTATACATACAGGAAGAAATGTCGTCTCCCTGAGCCCTATGGTGCTCCATTTACACATTTACTAAACGATATATTGCAACATATTAACATTTACTCATTGACTAGACAATATACTTCACATACATTTATGGAGTGACTAGACGATGTTTCATGTTATAGTGGCGGCATGAAGTACAATCATTAGCAAGTTTAAAGTGAATGTTTGTTTCTATGACACACTGTCACTTTAAACTGAGATTCTCTACACTGAAAAAATGTATTACAGCTGTAACTTAAATAGCTCTTGATGTTTTTTAATTAAAGCATTTGCACTTTTCTTTATGCCCTGTGTTTTGGCTGAACTATTTGATTAGTTGATTTCTGGATCACGTGACCAATTATTAAAAAAAAAAAAAAAAAATTTTGCAGTCCTAATCGCTATCACAGCATTCATTTCTTTTATTATGATGTGTCTTTGACTGTGGCAGAGCAGCAGTACTTTAACTGATAGCAGATTCTGTAGTAACCTCACTATCCCCAGAGACGGGGACCCACAGAGAGGTGAATGCTGGATGGAGGCTCCATGATGCGGGTATGTGGGGTATCTGGCACATGGGACTCTTCTGGTGTAGCTTTGAGGCCCTGTAGCTGCAGGCTGGTGTGCGGCTTAGCGGATTAGGACACCGTGCCTGTGAACGGAAGGTTGTGTGTTCGAATGCCAGGGTCAGCAGGGTGCTTTCATTGTAACCCCCAATTGCTTTCCTGCTTTCTCAAAAAATGCTGCTCACTTTGAATAAAAGCAGCTGCTACATAAATGTAAATTGAAGCTTGTGTAGCCTTTTTCAGCTGTAGTCATATAGGGCTGATTGATGGATTATGCTCAAGAACTCAGTGATCCATTTTTTCTTTTTTCTTTTTATTAAGAATGTGGGGCTGTTCTTGGAAACAGACAGAGAAGCTGCCTGCTTCCCAAACCCTATTCTGCAAGTTGAGACAAGCTAGGCAGAGACATTGGGAGTCATGCTTTAAATACTGCGGCTATCCACTTCTGTACAAAACATGGGGTGGGGTGGGGGGTCGCTTCTCAGGTCCTTGTAATCTGTTGTTCTTTAGCTGAAACTAAAGTGTGATATGAATGCGTGTAAAACTGTAGTATTAGTCCAGGATTTTCACAGGCTATCATTGTAGAGATGTAGAGATTTCATTGCATTTGCATGTGTTTTTGGATTGTTTTTAGGTATTTGGTTCTACTGGAAACTTTGGCCTACTGGTATATAAGGGATTCCGTATGATCTGTCGTCACAGAGACGGGACGTGCCGGCGTTTCGCTGAACCTCTCAGCAGAATAGTGTCCAGTTTGGGGCAGCGTCAATGGCAGCCATTCTCTCCTTTCCTTTGCTGCACTTTCTTCAGGCGATTTACAAGACCAGCGCCAACAATCAGCCCACTTGTTGGCGGCATAAATATTTCGGAGAGCCGGGCTGCTGGTTTTCTGCACCTCATCAGAGTCGGTTCTTTCAGACCTGTAACCTAGCACAGTTATGACAGTGCACTCTTTCTTCAGGGGTTTGTCATGCGCTGATGTAAATGCAGTGAATTGTCTTTGATGGCAGTGAGATTTTCTCTCACTATTATGGCTAAGGAGCCACACACTGACATTCGGATTTCCCCTTCCCTACCCATCTAGAATTTTTCATTAACCCTAGTCTAGATGTACACAGACTAGATTAGGCACGCCTCAGTTTGCTTGTGGGTTGGTGACAAAGGGCTGTAGTTGAGGTTTTTGTTTCCTGTTAACACATCTGTTCATGGATCAATTCTATGTAAGCGCTGAATATTTATTAGGATCATAGAACTGCAAAGCTTGACTGTAAACTATTGATTACGGACTGAAAAGCCTCCCCAAAGAGACTTCTGTTTTCTTGACCTTAAATGAGAGTGAAGTCTCTGGCTCTTTTAGCAAATCTGTTTAAGCCTTAAGATGTTTTGCCTGTGATAAGTATTTTTGCAGCTGCACTGTGCTGAAATTTCCATATAAATGTTTCACTTTTTAACTTAAATGTGTAGATGTCATGATGAATATATCTCCATGATGTTCACAACAAATTTTTCACCATATGTTCTATAGCTGTATATGCTTCGTAGGTTATTAACCCCATGTTGACTGTATAATATTCTGTAATCTATAGGGTCTTCTGATTTTACCTGGCACAGTGATCAGTAGCTATGATTCCTGTAGGTTAATTTAATAGTAAAGGAGAGGACAGTGAAGTGGTGCTTCGTTTAGAGATGGAGGAGTTGGAGGAGCTGCTTCCTTCTTGGTGTGTGTTTAGGTACCTTCTGTGCTAATATGTCCTGATGGTTACTGAAGGTTTCCCCCTTCAGAAATGCCTCTTTCTACACGTTGATACTCTGCTGGCTTAATCTCCATATTGAGTAAATGACTGATTGGTATTTACTGCGCAGCGTAAATGTGCTTTCTTGGCACCTTATTGATGTCACTTAGCTTCTCTCATTTTCTCCACTTTATGTGGCTATAATGAATCCACTCTTCCGCCAACCATACTTTGTTCAGGACTTGCTGCTTAAGTACCAGAGGCCATATTGCGTTGACAGTATCAAATCCACAGCAGCGCCCCAGTACAGAAAGGTGTAATGAGACGGTCTCAGTCAGGGTGCTTTATAAGGACTAAATCTGCGTGCACAAGCATGCAGGCCAAGTTCAGTCGGATGCGGATCTTAATGGCAAACGGTAAGTTAAATGTGCTGTAAATGGTTAGGGCTTCATCATGGTTTTGGGGAAATGGGGCTCTCCCTCTGCTCTGCTCTGTGCTGGTTAATTCTTCTCTGTGTGCTGTCTGAACTGGAGGGAGGCCGTGCGGATGACACAGCGCCCTTAATCCCCCTCTGACCTGCACCGAGCTGGGCTGGGCTGTGTCTGCTGGGGAGCCTTGCGTGTCTTTGCTAGCTGCAGGCTACATCATTCCTCCGTCGTCCCGCACCCCGCTGCCAGAAGGGCGTGTGTGAGACAGAGCTGCTACAGCCAGCCCGTCCTCCGTACATCGGGCCTCTACACGTCCTCCTCGTCCTCCACCCCCCACCCCGTCTTTGAAGCACACCCGGCAGGACCGGTTCCTGTTTGATTGGCAAACCGGTTTTTCCAGCCTCTTATGCCAACAAATTCTGGTATGATCCCAGGTCCCAGGGAATGTAAAAACCTGCCCGGCCAGTTAGATGAAAGGCATATTAGGTTTTCTGTTGCACATTATATAGCGTGCAGGGGAGAGCCGATCTACAGAGTCAGGCAGCTGTCCTCTTCCAGACATCTGTCTCTCTCTCGCTGCCTCTCCATGGGATGTCCCTGTCACTTAAACTCTGAATTTGTCGTTCTTGGAAACGGAATTTTTCCACACTGAGTTAAATTGAGAGCCTCTTCTAGAAGGGTGAGTAGAGGTAACTCATATATTTTTTTTTTTTTTCCATTCATTTATTTATACTTTTTGTAAGCATGAATGATTATATTGTATTTTTAGCTTTTTCATTTTTAAGCTTGTCCATGTCTCTCATTTGTATGAGAGAGGAAAAATCTGAAATGTTAATTAAACTAACTCGCAGCAGGAGTAGGGCTGGTTTAGAGTTTAGAGCCAGTTTTCCTTATACTGGAAAAGTTACATGCATGTACTCTGTTGGTAAATGATTGTCCAGAGTGATCCGCGTGATGGAAGCAGTGGAGAAAACCAGGAACGGAGGCAGGCTCTGGGGTCTGTCTCGCCGCAGAGGCTGTGGCAGTGAGTGTCCGGCCCCGTGGGGTGTCTCATTAATGCCCCCGGAGGCAGGCAGGAGACGCCGGTCTGCTTTGATGTGCCGAGAGTCCGGATCTGGGCCAGAGTTTATTTTGCTGGCTCCCGGTCTTGTTCAGAGCCTGGCACAGGGTGTCTCACTCTATGAAAGTGCTTCAAGCATTTTTGCATGGAACGCTAATGAGGTGGGATTATGTTCGCCCCGTCACAGAGAGGAGGGGGCTTGGAGTAGGGGGAAGATTATTGAGAATGCTTGATGACCCCCCCCCCCCCCCTTTGGAAATGAGGCTTAGAGTCTGGCTGTAACCCGAGCAATAGCTATCTCTAATCAAAGTCAGGTGTGCTGGGGCCACCCACAGCAAATCTGCTCTTCCGTGTTGCGTGTGTGTTTCTGCACAGTGCAGGTGCTGAACTGTAATCTGTGTTTAGTTTGGAGAAACACAGAAATAAGTGGCTACCCTGCTGGAGGCTGGAGACCTTGAGGGTGAACCAGTTTGACGCTCACTGGGCATTCTCAATGGGAGCTGTGGAAGGTGCTGCCTTTGTTTCTGCTAAGAAGTTCATGCAAACCGTGTGTGTGTGCGCGCGCGAGCGTATGTTTGTGTCTACACACATGCTCATCATGTGACCAAAACTGCATGTAAAGAGTGCATGTATGCATCTATCAGGCTCCAGTTTATCCCATGTTCCTGTCTTATATGGTGTTTTTCCGTCTCTACACACACGGCCATCATATCACATGCATGTGTATATGCATCAGGCTTCAGTTGTCCCCGTGTTCCTGTCTAACTCTCGCCTCCCTTATAAATGCATATGTTTTTTGTTTTTTTTTGTCCCCCTGTCACAGTGCCCCGCCCCCGGCCATCCCCCCGCCCCCCGTTCCCGCCTTTCGCACCCGAGTCACCCAGGTATGTGAGCTCCCGCTGGCCCAGAAGTGAAAGCATGAGCAGAGAGATGAGCAGCTCCGGCGCCGGTGGCGGTGGCAGCCCCAGCAGGCATAGCGACGTGCCGTGTGACCTCTTCAGGGAGCTGTGGATGCGCTTAAAGGAGAGCCATGATGGCGAGGTGCAAGGTGCGAGCGTAGACGCTGTCGGCAGCTCCTCGTTAATGTACATGTGCGTATATACTGTATGTACGATATATACATATGAATATACCTGTATACATACACACACACATTAATGTCCAAAGCAGGGGTAACGATACTGTGACATGTCTGCATCCTCATGCCCGGCCGTAGCTTTTCTGCCCCCTTCAATGGGACGCACTGTGTTTCCCCCCCGGCTGGGGGCAGATAGGGTTACATGGCACAGCCCAGTCGCCCCGCTGCCCGCTCCCCCCCGGGCTCAGGTTGCCTCGGGTCCGACTCGAACCGCCTGCGAGCACAGGCTTGGCTTTGTGTACATGCCCCCCCGCCCCCTCTGCTCTCTTGCATGGGCGTGGGCGTAGATTAAAGTGCACATTTCAGGGGGCTTAATTGCACCTGCATAATTGATTTGGTGAAAAGGGAACAGTTTTTTTTTTTTTTTCTCCCCCCAACCCTCTCCCCTTCCTTTTCTCATTCAGTCATGATTCCGATCTGCTGGGCTCTCACAGCTGCTGTAATGGGCCCCCCGAGATGAAAAGTAGTTCCTTTCCATGAAAAGAGTGTTTCAGCTCAGACTGGAGTCCATCTTTTCCCATGATTCCACCTGTCTGCCCATATCACATCCTCATTCAGAGCCCTTCTGTGCAGGGTGTATGGTTACCTCATTAGTGACTGGGCCATTTAGTTAACATCTTGGAGGTTTTCATTAAGCACACAATCGTTTGACTCAATTCGGATTATAGATAAATAGAAAGTAACCATTTTGGCGGACCATTTAAGATTTCCTTGCTTAAACAGATGACATGGAGATTCTCTGTATATTGGAAGAGTTTTAAACACTGTGGCTCGTTTTATAGCACATAAGTAAATTAATTCTTCCACGTTTGTATTTCAGGGTGTGTGTTGTGGCATCCAGTAATGGCCATGTGGTTTGTCATGATACAGATTTTTTACAGTGGAATAACTAATTACTGTTTTTCTGTTTTTATGCTCAGGACTTCAAGCAAAAATAAACAAGCTGAAAAAGGACCGATGTTTGTAAGTCTGACATTTCTGCTGTTCAACATATTCAGAATATTCACTATGCTTTTTGATATATATCATGTAACACATTTTGAATAGGGGTGGGGAAAACAAACAAATATGATTAATCATGATACTGGTTTTGACAATTCAATATTGTTTCACAAAATGCCATCTTCTTTATTTATGCCTTTTCTCTGTGACCTTGAGCATATTTTCGCCGAATTTTACTTACAATTAACCAGAAAAGGTTGTTATTACATGGTAAAGGACATTGTTATAACTACAGTACACTTTTGTTTGTTGGTTAAATAAAAACTCCATTGTTTGACATTGACCTTCGTTCATCTTTGACGTCGAATTGATTCTCAAAGAATTGTTCTAAATGTTTTAGCAAAAAGAAATCATATATCATAAATCGAATTGAGTGGATTTGAAATTGAATGAAATTGGACACTTGTGAACTGAAATCAGATTGTATTGTGAGGTCAGGACTGATTCACTTTGATTTCACTTCTCCGAGCATCTAACTGAAACTGGGCTGAGCACAGCACTCCTTTTTTCCAAACCTTTTCCCCATCTTTTGCCTGATGATAATTTGTAGGGCTTAAGGAATCATTTCTGGAATGCACCAGGTTTCCCATAGTATTTCATTGCTGCTGTAGTCTCTGTCTTTATAAATATGCAGTACTGCAGGGCTAGGAGGACACTTTTATCATCCTTCAGTGTCAAAGTCATTACTTTTTTCAGTCTTTCTTATAGTTATTTGTTTTTTTTTTTTTTTTTTTAATTGTTTTCCCCATTTCACCTGAACTTTGTTCAGGAACTGAGTTTAAAAATACACTAAGATCCCTCACAGTGCTTTATTTAATGTTTAAATTGGGGTGGTGATTTAAATGATTGCCTCGCTGCCTCTGTGACTTTTAGTGCACCCTTTCCGCTGAGCTCAATTATTTCTTCTCTGCTCATTATACAAGTATGTCATTGCAGATATAATAAGATTAAACCAAAAAAAAAAAAAGTGGGTTTCCTTATTGACCTTCCGCTGCGGCTGGTTTTGTGTGTCAAACCTGATACTGCGTCTCACAAAGACCTCTTTCAGGATGCAGCTTTCGCACAAGGAGGTGCTTAATGAGCGGGACCGCAGCGGGTCACAGGACGTAGCTACGTTTGTGGCTCATTCATTTTGTGACTGGGAGACGTCAGAAATTCCAATGC